GAGGTGACGCTGCGGGAATCGCCACGTGCACTAGTGGGGACGGGCGGCACGGCCGGGGGCTCCGGCTCTCCTGGGCAGAGGGTGACGCCGAGTCTGACCCGTCCCCTGCGGAGGCTCAAAGCTTCCCACGGCAGCAGTGGGGTGTGGAGGTGAAAGGCTCCTTCCTCCTCCACAGCCTGAACCGCGGCCGTGCTTTAATCACTCCTGCATGTCACTAAAGACTGATCCTAAATGCTATTTTATAATATACAGAGGAAACAAATGTCTATTTTTCAAAGCTATATTATTGAATGTATATATGTATAGACAGATCAGTAAGTGATGCGAGTGCCTCGTTACCGACCAGTGTTCTCCAGGAGCGGGTGTGCCCCCGGCCGCTTTGCCAATAGCCCGTTCGTGCCGCGACTGCAATATTCCCGCCAAGGGGACTACACCTTCCTGGTGTGACCCCCCCCAAGCCTGAGCAAGCTGCTTCTGAGCGAGTCAGAGAGCAGCTTCTCTGTCTGAAATGTTCTTTTTACACCCACAAGTTTTTAGCTGTGTGTGTTCGTCGCCAGCGTTCAGCCCCGTGGGTGACGCAGTTGCCAAAGTCAAAGCCATATTGCGAAGCAAGCACAAGGTCAGAGGAGCCTCAGCTCCCAGGCGAGGGGATTGTCTGCACTGTTGTCATGCCAGACACTAAAATCATGGCCAGAAAAAGCTCCTGAGGCATAAGCTATGCAATGGGGTGGGTTGGTGGAGCCGTGCTGCTGCTGGAGCCGAGACTGACCCTCTCCACCTAAGCACCAAAGAGCCGAGGTGTGGGCAGAGACCCAAAGCAGGTGCCCAGCCTTAACCCAGGGGTGCCCGCTCAGAAAATACTGGGGTTTGCTCTCAGGAAGGCAGAGAAACCCCCTGGCTACCAGCCTCGTGCTCACGTAAGCCGAGAGGAAGGTGCTGGGGAGCAGGGACCATTCCTGGGCAAGTGGGAGCACGATGCCAATTACTGAGGGACCTTCCTCGGACACTTCGCACGATGCAATCAAAGGGCTGGAACTTGGATAAGCACTTATTTTTCCCCATTTAAAAACAAGTCCTCCCCTTTTTTTTTCCAAGCACGTAGATCACAAAGCCACGCTGCAGGCAGCATCAGGGGCTGGGAGCCGTCCTCTGCCAGGTGGTGAAGGTTTGTTAACAGGAGAGGAGGGTGCTTACCCTGCGGCCAGGTGAGGAGCTCCCATCCCTGAGCTGCTGCAGCTCTGCCTGCCCCTGCCCACCCTGCTCCAGGGCTCTATTCACCCCTCGTCCGGCGCTGAGCCCGGCTGCCATCGACTGCAGCCCTGAGAGCGATGCAGAGGAGGTGGGATGGAGCCCAGTGTCTCCTCTGCCCTTTCCACCCTCCTCCTGCCTCAATTTTCTCCTGCGAGCGAATGAGTTTCATTAATTAGCTACCTCCCAAGGGGTCGCGAGGACCAGGCAGGGGCTGGCAGGGATGGGGAGCCACGAGCCGGTGGGGAGGGGCTGGCGGGGAGGGGGAGCCCCGAGCCGGTGGAGAAAAAAGCACTTAGTGATGGATATGTCTTTGTCTCACCTTCAGAATCCCCTGGGGAACCCTCATCCTGTGGGGCTGGGGCACCCCTGGGTTTAAGGCCATCCTGCTCCTCCCCACCTGCCTCCACTTCTCTGCCCAACCGACGGCTTAAACCACCCATCACTGCCCCTGGTATTTAATTCAAATACAATCCAAACCCTTCTTGTCGATACCGCAGCCTGCACGGTCTTGCTGATGCTGAGTTGTTATATATGCTTGCTGCACTGTGACAGTATTCTATAAAAAGCTTTGTATTATTAATTACACTTTTTTTTTTTTTTTGGTCTGTTTACATTACAAGCAAATGACATATCACCAGAGAGCTTCTTGCAATATACGTGGGGGAGGGAGGGGAAAAGATGCCAAAGAAATGTCTTTAAAGGGGTGTCTTTTTTGCATTTTTATATAAATAGAATGTTTCTAGCAGATATGTTCTGTTTAATATATTAAAGATTTGCCAATCTGCCAAGATCTATTGTTATTCCTCACATTTCAAATACAACAGCCCGCTGGGTGTGGACAGGGCACTGATCTAATGAGTGGGCAGCAGCAGCACTCACACAGAACCCCAGAATGGCCTGGATTGGAAAAGCCCTTTAAGCTCATGGAGTCCAACCATGAACCCAACACTGACAAGTCCCCTATGACTAACCCATGTCCCTCAGCACTGTGTCTACACGACTCTTCAATCCCTCCAGGGATGGGGACTCCACCACTGCCCTGGGCAACCCCTTCCAATGCCTCAGAACCCTTTCAGCAAAGAAATTCTTCCTCACATCCCATCGGAGCTGCCCTGGCCACAACTGGAGCCCATTTCCTCTTGTCCTGTCCCTTGGTCCTTGGTTGAATAGACCCACCCCCACCTCTCTCCACCCTCCTCCAAGGGACTTGGAGAGAGCCAGAAGGTCTCTTCTCAGCCTCCTTTTCTCCAGCCAAAGCTGCACCTTCAACAGTTTCCAGCAGCTTCACACCCCTTATTTAACCCAGACGGGGGTAGTTTTCTCTCAGCAGGTTCAGGTGTCTCTGTGACCCTCACAAACCCATTCTGCCAAAGGAAGTGAAGCACAAGAACGTGAGACCATCCCTGGAAAAGCTGGAGCAGTGCTATGGAAAACCAGTGCCAGTGAAGGTGCTGGAGACCTCCCCCTGGGCATCATCCCCAGTGTAAGTCCACAGGATCACCACACTTGCCAGTGACATCAGCCCACAGGACTGGGACACACCAAAACACCTTTTACCAGAGGCTGCAGTGAGAAAGAATCCAGAAACCAGTCCTGGCACCTGCGCTTCTATTTATTTCTAACAGAAACACAACATAACCCAAAGCAGTTACACCAGAAAAAGCCCCATTTTGGTCCAGAACATGAAACGAGCCATAGCTCACTCCAACCCTGCTCCCCTGGGCGACTGTCCCTGCAGTGTCCCTGCTCTGTCACCATCAGGTTTCACAGTTTTGATCCCACAGTCCCTGCTGTCCCGGTGTCTCTGGCAGCATCGTCCTCTGGATCACACCAGAGCTGACCATCCTCACGGCCAGGCCTTGGCCTTCCTGAAGGCCTGGATCTCCTCGGGGCCCCGCAGGTACTGCTCGATTTCGCTGTCAGAGATGGGCTCGTCGCCGGTGACCGCAGAGTCCGAAGCACTCGGGGCTGCCGTCCGCAGCCTCTTCCTCGGGTTGATGAGGCAGGGTGGCAGCAGGGGCCTGGGGCTGCCCCCACGCTGGTGTTTCCCTTTGGAGGGACAGTCCTTCTCCTGCTCTGCCCCTCCTGCTGCCGGGGCAGAGCCAGGGGAGCCCTCGGCCAGAGCCGCAGGACGCTGCTCCTCCTCATCCTCCAGGCAGAAGGCGTTTTTCAG